GTGTACATAATTTCGCTCCACCACATGTACCACATGAGGTGTGAATGACAATAAAGAAACTCTGACTCTGACTCTGACTCTGATCTTAAGACACTGAACACAAACATTCCCATACATATAAAGTCAGTGAATAACGTAATTTATCTGAGGAGCCAACAGATTGCTTTGAGTTTTCACGTCATCGCAGTCTCCCATCCTAAGCAAGCACAGAGGCAACTGTGGAAAGGAAAAAACCCCTCATGAGGAAGAACCTCATACATATACATAGTATAAAATAATTATTTCTTGAACATACAGAGTAACAGTAGATTAACATGTCAAACAAAACATACACGAGTTTAACAGGACTTGATATGCACACATGATGACTTTTACTCACACTTTGATGATTTTGTAGAGTTTTTGTCGGTTGTGACCCAATGTGCTGCTGCGACCGGCCAGCTCCAGCAGTTTGTCAGCCACAGCAGAATAATCAAACTGAGGAAGACACAAACTCTTTGTTAAAAACACAAAGTCAGATTCACAACACACAGACACACAATTACACAGATACACATCAGGTCATTAAAGCAGGAAAATGTTAATTCCATTTAAGTTAATTAACAATCAGATATTCTCCCACCATGATGGTTATACTCTGCGGACTTCAAGTCCTTTATCTTTTCTACAAATGTTACAACATTGCATTTTTTTTTTAAACAAGCACCAGTAAGCAGTGAGTGGAATTCAATTTCTCTGAGTTTATAAAACTATAAAATAATAATGATGATAATAATAATAATAATAAAAAAGCTGTGACCTATGATGGTCCTGAGGTGTACCATAATTTTCATTCTATAAGCCGCTACTTTTGTTTCACACTCAGCGTCTTATTTATACTGTTTTTTTTAATCCTTCCATCCATCCATTTTCTTCCGCTTATCCGGGGTCAGGTCTCGGGGGTAGCAGCCTAAGTAGGGAGGCCCAGACATTCCTCTCCCCAGCCACTCGGGCCAGCTCCTCCGGGGGAATCCCAAGGCGCTCCCAGGCCAGCCGAGAAACATAGTCCCTCCAGCGTGTCCTGGGTCTTCCGCTGGGTCCCCTCCCGGTGGGACGTGCCCGGAACACCTCGCCAGGGAGGCGTCCAGGAGGCATCCTAACCAGATGCCTGAGCCACCTCAACTGGCTCCTCTCGATGTGGAGAAACACCCTCCCAGACGACAGAGCTTCTCACCCTATCTCTAAGGGACAGCACAGACACCCTGCGGAGAAAATTCATTTCGGCTGCTTGTATCTGTGATCTTGTTCTCGCAGATGAGGGTAGGAACGTAGATCGACCGGTAAATTGAGAGCTTCGCCTTTTGACTCAGTTCTCTCTTCACCACGACAGACCGGTACAGTGACCGCTTCACTGCCGACACTGCACCTATCCGCCTATCGATCTCACGCTCCATTTTTCCCTTATTAGTGAACAAGACCCCAAGATACTTGAACTCCTCCACTTGGGGCAGGACCTCCTTCCTGACCCGGAGAGGGCGCTCTACCTTTTTCTGGCACAAGACCATGGCTTCGGATTTGGAGGAACTGATCGTCACGTCACCACTTGCTCTAGCCGAGATTGGATGCTTCTCTCCCTCCCTCTCCGCTTTGCTTTGCTGCTCTGTCTGTGAAACTGCTGAGAGACTCTCTTGTGTTTCTTCTGAACCATAATTATGGACTGTTTTGACCAGATGGCCCCTCAACTCAATTTACAACATTTCTTCGAAGAGAAGACAGGCTTTAAATAAATAAATAAAACCAATAAAAATAAATGGTACTAATGTAATGAATATTTACAGCATTCTACTGGTACTTATTTGACTTCCGGTCACATGACCTAGATAAGACTGGGTTTTACCGGTAAATAATTTTTAAATAATTTCAGTTACGTAGGTGTTTGACACTCTTCTGTCCAATGACTATGCTTAGATAGATTATTGTGTTCATTTTGAAGTTATAATGGTTGTACCATGAGTCAGGGAGCCAAGCTTAATGAAGACGTGACGAGAGTGTCTTTCTGAGTGTGTGTTGAAAACGAGCTGTATTCTGTGAGTCTCCACCTGCTGGATGATCCTTGTACTACAACAAGAAAGCTGCACACAGCCGGAGCAGATGGGAGCACAGAATCTGATGTACAGTAGGGGTTGAACGACTACATAATTTTTAAACTCAATATTAACATAATAAAACTCGAGTAGAACTCGAGTAGTTGATGACGTCATAGGATCTCAAGATGAAAAATAAATAAATAACACGTCATTTATTATTTACAAAAAAAACAACAACAAAAAAACATTGGGAGCATATATTATGCTCCTACCATGTATCATACTGCAAATAAGTCACAGAAAAAAACAAAACTTAGTTTTTTTTTATTATTAAGCTGCAAAAGTGAAGAAACTTGCAGCACGTCAAAAACGAAACTAAAAACAGTGGGGGAGTCGACCACACCGCACCACCGCCAGCTGTGGTGCGCATTAGGTTTAGAGATAAATATGTTTATAGTTTTTTTTATAGGTTTAGAGATTAATATTTTTTGCTTTTATTTTGTGAAACAAGGTCAGAGGAAGCTGGTTCTTCTTCGGTCATTGGACCCGGTGTTACACCATATTCTGTGACCTGCAACAGTGCATGCAACACCGCCCCCTACGGTCACAGAAAATGGTATAACACTGGTTCGCAACGAGCTCAAAACAGTCAGGAAGTTGATTCATTTTCAGTTTCCTTACGGTAGTTGTACCGGAAGATTCATCTTTAGTGAAATATTTCCACACTACTGATGCATTTCTACCTGTTTGCCAAGACTGGACCTGCTCCACTCGGTCCATCTGCTGGAGGAATCCATTTGGTGGCTTCTACTAGTAGCCCGGTGTGGATCACGTGACACGTAATGCAATGACATCACTGCGAATACTCAAAGTGAAATTTAAAAACTCGATAGATGTTCTAGGAATTGACCTGTCGATTACTCAAGTAGTCTGTTTAAGCCCTAATGTACAGTGGATGCCCACGGCTAAATAACAGGATCATCTTATTTATGTACAAAATTATGATTTATCTTAGATTTAATAAGTGCGGCTTAAACACAGGTGCGTTCTAAAGCCCGACATTTACGGTAAATGAACAACATTTGAAAAAACAGAATTACATATTTTTTTAAACGCAACATTAGATAGAACGGAATTCCGTTTGAAAAAACGGAATTACATTAAGCCAAAGCGCAAGTGGCCAAAGTGGAAGTGACCAAAGCGGAGGTAGCCAAAGAGGAAGTGGCAGGAATTAACATAAAAAAAAAAAAAAGGAATTATATGGGAAAAACTGAATTACATTTGAAAAAAAAAAAAAAAAAACAGAATTACATTAAGCCAGTGCTTAGTTCATATCTTAGATGTTATTACTGTTTTTCTTAGACATTTTATTGTTGGATGTAACTGGGACCCCGTGTACATAATTTCGCTCCACCACATGTACCACATGAGGTGCGAATGACAATAAAGAAACTCTGACTCTGACTCTTCCATCGATCATGATGGGCAATGTGAGATCGCTGGGAAACAAGTTGGATGAACTTCAGGCCCTAACAAGGACCCATCCAGAGTATGGGGAATGCAGTGTGATGTGTTTCACTGAGACATGGCTGCAGGATCATATCCCTGACTCCAGCGTTTCCTTGCCAGGCTTTCTGACCATACGAGCAGATAGAGATTTAAAGAGGGGTGGCAAAAGGAAAGGTGGGTTGGCAGTGCTTGTGAACAACAGATGGTGTAATCCTGGACATGTTACTGTGAAGTGTCGTCTCTGCAGTCCAGATATTGAACTGTTAGCCCTAAGTTGTCGTCCATATTATTTGCCAAGACAGTTCAACAGTGTTATTTTGGCAACTGTTTACATTCAACCCAATGCTGTTGCCGAGACTGCGTGTGATGTCATCAGCTCCGAGGTTGCTAAGCTACAAACACAACACCCTAGTGCGTTTGTTGCAATATCTGGGGATTTTAATCATGCCTCTCTCTCTGCTACACTTCCGACATTCAAACAGTTTGTCAGCTGCTCTACCAGAGAAAACAAAACGCTGGACTTGTTTTATGCAAATGTCAAGGATTCATACATCACTAAAGTAAGACCCCCTCTTGGCAAATCAGATCACAATCTTGTGTATCTCTGCTCAAAATATAAACCCCTTGTTCAGAGGTAACCTGCAATAAAGAGAACAGTGAGAAAATGGTCAACGGAAGCTGAAGATGCCCTGCGGGGTTGTTTTGACGCTACAGACTGGGATGCACTGTGCCAGCCACATGGAGAGGACATCAATGCCATGACTGAGTGTGTGACCGACTATATAAACTTCTGTGTAAACAACACCATCCCCACCAGAACAGTGAGATGCTTCCCCAGTAACAAACTCTGGATCACCACTGACCTGAAGGAACTGCTGAACCAGAAAAAAAGAGCCTTCAGGGAGGGAGACAGGGAATTATTGAAGAGCACACAGAAGCAACTAAAAGTCAAGATAAGAAACAACAAGGAGGTGTACAAGAAGAAACTGGAGAGCAGGCTCCAACAGAACAATATCAGAGAGGTGTGGTCAGGGATGAAACAGATCACAGGCTTCAAGCAGAAGGAGGATCAGAAGGATGGAAGCCTGGACAGAGCCAATGAACTGAACACGTTCTTCAACAGGTTCAGTTCAGGAACAAGCTCAGCATCCTCCTCTCTTGCCCACAGCCAAACATACATACCACCCTCCATTGACCCAAGGCTGTCCTGTCACACCTCAAATATTGTATCTACCACCTCAGTCATGGACCCTTCTTCTACATATTGGTCTTCAACTAAATCAGAAGATGCTGATACCTCCTTTGCCTCCCCCCTCTGCATCTCCAGAAGTCAGGTGAGGAAGCAGCTGGAGAGACTGAACCAGAATAAGGCTGCAGGTCCAGAAGGTGTCAGTCCCAGAGTCCTTAAGGTCTGTGCAGAGCAGCTCTGTGGGGTTCTGCAGCACCTCTTCAACCTTAGCCTGATCCAGAAGGTTCCAGTGTTGTGGAAAAAAACCTGTCTTGTTCCAGTGCCAAAGAAAACGCACCCATCAGTCCTCAATGACTATAGACCTGTTGCCCTGACATCCCACATCATGAAGGTCCTAGAGCGACTTCTGCTGGCCCACCTGACTAGACAAACAAGCACATATCAGGACCCACTGCAGTTTGCTTATCAGCTTGGACTTGGAGTTGAAGATGCCATCATACACCTGCTTCCTCAAACTCACTGTCATATAGAAAAGGCAGATAGCACTGTGAGAGTCATGTTCCTTGATTTCTCCAGTGCATTTAACACAATCCAGCCTGATCTGCTTTGTCAGAAACTCCAGAAGACTCAGGTGGAGGCCTCAACAATCACCTGGATCAAAGACTCCCTGACAAACAGACCACAGTTTGTGAGACTGAAGGGTTGTGTGTCTAACCAGGTGGTCAGTAGCTCAGGAGCACCACAGGGGACTGTACTCTCACCATTCCTTTTCACTCTGTACACCTCAGATTTCCAGTACAAAACAGACTCCTGTCATCTGCAGAAATATTCAGATGACCCTGCAGTAGTCGGGTGTATCAGAGATGAACAAGAAGCTGAGTACAGGGAACTGGTGGACCGCTTTGTGGCATGGTGTGGAAACAATCATCTCATCTTGAATGTGAACAAAACAAAGGAGATGATTGTAGATTTCAGGAGAATCAGGAACAAATCCAACCCTATTTCCATCATGGGAGAAGAAGTGGAGGTGGTGGAGAAGTATAAATACCTTGGGGTTCACCTGGACAATAGACTGGACTGGAAATGCAACAGTGAAGCCATCTACAAGAAGGGACAGAGCAGACTGTACTTCTTGAGGAAGCTGAAGTCCTTCAACGTTTGCAGCAAGATCTTCTACAAGTCTGTTGTAGAGAGCGCCATCTCTTCTTTTTTTTTTTTTTTTTTTTTTTTTTTTGATGGCCTCCCTTCTCCCCTTACAGCCATCCTCTCCACACCATTATTATTAAATATTTATTATAGTGACATTCTAGTGTAGAGTTTTTTTTTATTTTTTTTTATTTAATAGGATAGAAAAAAAGAAAAGACAAAGTAAGACTCCAAAATATAAGAAATATATACAAATAGAGCACACTTCAAAACACCCGGCCACTGTCTGTTCACCTGCAAAGAACATGACAAAACACAGCAACAAAATACATATGTATAAAGAACTTAAAATATTCATGGCTTTGCAGTAAGTTTCAATATATATACCCATACCTACGCCTATATACATACATACATACATACATACATATGAATATACACTCACATACATATCTATATATCTACATATAAAGCCTACATAAACATCCCTGCTTCTATTTGTGTGTGGTTGTGAGCATGCATAAGTGTATAAGGCTTCTCTAATAGAACATTTATTAGTAATTGTGAAGCAGCAGAGACCCGACCCCCAAGACCAGAGGCAGACGAAAAAGTGGGGACCAGAGCCCAAGACCCCAGGAGGGACCCCGACCGCGGAGCCCCCAGAGCCACCCACACAGGGCGAACCACCCACCCACCCCCCAGAAGGGACCACAGGGGAGAACCGGAAGATCCCCACCAGCAACCACATACAGTGACCCCCCGGGGCCAACAGCGACAAACTCATAGGCCTCCGTCGGCACCCGCCACACCGATGTAGGTCCAGGTCCAGGCACCGAGGCCCGGGCACCGAGGACTCACACCACCCAGGCCAAGGCCTGACAGGGCCAGAGGACCCGAGCCCCACCAGGCAGACACCAGGCCGAGCCGACACACGCCCAAGCGCCCAGCCCCCGATACCAAGGGCCCCAAGCGCGCCGGCAGGCAAGGGCACACCCCAGAGAGCGCCATCTCTTCTGCCATCATCTGCTGGGGTAGCAGCACCAGAGAAAGTGACTTAAAAAAGATCAACAAGCTCATAAAGAAGGCTGGCTCAGTTCTGGGGACTCCTCTAGAACCTTTGGAGATGAGAGTACAAAGAAGGATTCTTCATAAAATGAAAAACATTATAGACAACCCTCAGCATCCTCTTCATCAGACTGTCATACAACAACAAAGTGTCTTCAGTCAGAGGCTTCTTCAAATCCGTTGTATGACAGACCGCTACAAGAGATCCTTCCTGCCCACAGCCATCAGCATCTATAACAACTCTTTAATGAAACCAGGATGATGAGTTACAACAACATTTAATTTCCCTCTGGGATTAATAAAGTATTTTTGAATTTAATTTAATTGAATTGGGATTATAAAGAGGGTGGGTCCTAAAACTGAGCCTTGTGGTGCACTATTGCTGACTGTTAAATAAGTGCAAGAATTACCATTATGTTGAACACATTGCCTCCGGTCTGAGAGATAGTTAGTGAACCAACCAATGGTATTATCTGTCAAGAACCAGGGTTTTGGATTCAAAATAGCCAGACACAGGAGTGCAAAAACAAAAACATTTTTTATTTATTAAGCTGCTGGAGTCTCAGGATCCAATTTCAGTAACAGGTCTTTGCAGGTAGGTGGGGTGAGAGCCACCTGTCAGATTAAAAAGAGATGAACTGGTGGGAAGACAGCTGCAAAAGGAGGCCTTTAATGATGTGAACAATGGGGCAATGCAGGTTTGTGGTCCAAAGGGCAAAGCAGGGGTCAAACACAGGGAGTCAGTGGTACAAGGGTAATCCAAAAGGGTGATCCGTGAGTCGTGGTCGTAGGCAGAAGAGGAGGTCGTTACTGAGGTCAGATATGCAGGCAAATCCAAGAGGGGTAGGCAAGGCGAGGAGTCCAAAAACAGGCAAGGATACAAGGCAAGGCATGGCAAGGATACAAGATACTATGATTGAAGGCTTCACTATCAGGGACCATGAGTGGTGTAATAATTTGGCACCAGTGGAGAGGGAGAATGGAGTTTATAAAGAGTGCAGAGCAGGTGAACTAGATGAGCTGAACAGGTGAGTGGAATCAGGGCTGATTGCTGTGATAGGCTGAGGGGGTGTGGTGAACTGTTAACTGACAGGAGCAGATGTGCGCAATGACAGGAGCTGAGGGATAAACAAAACATGAAGGAGAGGGGCAGAAAACAGGGCATGTCATGAAGGAGCAGGGAAGTGAGCAGATGGGGGGCCGCTGATCATGACAGTTATCTGAGAAACCAGTTTCTGATTTCTGATTAAATTTCAATTTATTAGCTGGAGTTAGTGGAAGAGATCATATTTCTCCAGTTTTAGCTTCTCTCCATTGGCTCCCTGTCAAATCCAGAATAGAATTCAAAATCTTACTTCTAACCTACAAAGCTCTCAACAACCTAGCGCCATCTTATATTCAAGATCTTATTGTTCCATATTTTCCTAACAAAGCACTTCGCTCTCAGACTGTAGGTTTACTTGTGGTTCCTAGAGTTTCCAAAAGCAGAATGGGAGGAAGATCTTTCAGTTCTCAGGCTCCTCTCTTGTGGAACCAACTTTCCGTTTCTGTACATGAGGCTGACACATTATCCAGTTTGAAGACTGGGATTAAGACGTTCCTTGTTGATAAATCCTATAGTTAGGGTTGGCTTGTTATGCTGTCTTAAGCTTAGACTACTAGAGGACAAATTTACCCAATTTCCTTAAATTAATTGCTAAAACGGAATAATTTTCATTTGATACTATTTCTATCTTAACATGTGATTCTTGACCTGCCATGTGTATCTGTTCCTACCAAACCCAGCTGGTCGAAGCAGATGGTCCTCTTGTCCTGATCCTGGTTCTGCTAAAGGTTTCTTCCTCATGAGGGAGTTTTTCCTTTCCACTGTCGCCTTCATGCTTGTTCAAGATGAGAGTTCTGTGATGGAGTTCAACTCAAAGCTGCTCCTCAGATAAATAATGTTCAATTATTATTTTATATATGAATGTTTCTGTTCAGTGCCCTGAGATCACTTCTGTTGTGACTTGGCGCTATATAAAAAAACTGAATTGAAATTGAATTGAATTAAAGAAGAAGATATGACGCTGGAAATACTTGGCAGGATCTTCGAGGTAGTTTTGTTGACATACATTTTAGATTTACAGTTTAGTTTTACTGCCACGGCATTAGTAATACCTAGCCTGCTAACTGTAACTCTGTTGTGTGTGTACTGTACATTGTTCTGTTTTATGTTGTTAATAAAATAAAAAAAATATTATCTATCTATATATATATATATATATATATATATATATATATATATATATATAT